AACTTTCCTTTTTTATGAAACCATATTATATATATACTTATTTTTCGTTTTTAAATAGTTTTGTAAATTTTAGAAATATTTCCTTTTTGTTTTATATTGTTATTTGGAAGATTTTAAAAAGGAAATAATAATATTTAAATATATTTTTAATTCATTAGGGGTATCATAGTAATCAACCAGCGTGAGAGTTAACGTGAGCGCGACACCTAAGAAAGTGACTTCTCAAATAATATTATAGAGATTATATAATAAAAACGAATTTATGTTAATAATATTATATTTTTAGAAAATATGTTAATTCTTTTGTATTAGATTGTTATCTTAAAAATATATTTTTCAATTATTATTTTAGAAGTAAATTTGCTTAGTTGTCAACTTCTCCATGATTTTAGGTTATTTTACTTATTTTCATGTTTTAATAATGTATTATATAATAAAAACGAATTTATGTTAATAATATTATATTTTTAGAAAATATGTTAATTCTTTGTATTAGATTGTTATCTTAAAAATATATTTTTCAATTATAAAATTTAAGTGAATTTGCTGATTAATTTGTAACTTTCACGTTGAATATTAGAGCGGTTAATATCGTTTATATCCTTAATGAATAATTAAAAAATTTATATAATTAAACATAAATAAAAAACGAATTTCAATGAATTTAGATTTAGCTTTATCTAAAAATATTTTATATTGGGTTATAAAGTCTTTATTAACCTTGAACAATAATTATATTAGTTAATATATAATTAATTATAAATTAAAAACGAATTTCATTTATTTGATAATCATCCTTATTTTAATTTTTTTATATTATGTGATAAAGTCTTTATCAACCTTGAAAAATAATTATATTTGTTAACATATAATTAATTCTAAATTAAAAAATGAATCTCATGAATTTGATAATTATCTTTATCTAACTTTTTTATATTGTGTTATAAAGTCTTTATAATCGTTGAAAAATAATTCTATTTGTTAATATATAGTTAATTATGAAAAATCAATTCACAAAGAATTTATGTATAGATAATTTATATTGTGTTATCCAAAACATTATTAAAGATATTTTTTATACTTTTTTGTTATGTCTAAAAATGATATTAATTTATTACTAAATGTTTTAAGTTCATGAGTATTTTCAAATATAAGTTGTGTAATGAAAATTATTTATATGATGATGAAATTTTTTATATATAGAAAGAATTTGTTTAGTTTATTATTAAATATTTTGAGTCTATGAACTATAATTTTTTATAATTTACATAAATTGATTATATATTTATATATAGATATTAGTAAAATTATTAAGCCCGCAAGTGCGGGCAAAACACCTAGTTCTTTGGTATAAATACAGTTTCAAAGTTACCCAGAAATAAAACAAAAGATATTAAAAAGAAAAACCAATAACAAAAAATTCAACGTGTAATGGAGAAAAAAAAAATTAGCCTAGGAGTTGAGAGTCTCCTTCATCTAGCATCTTATCTTTCTCAGATGATTTGGTTTCATCATCAGCTGATTTTGCTTCCTCTGGAGAGATGAACTCAAGCTGTCTTGACTTGAAAACAGCTGTCCTTTTAGATCTTATCCGGTAAGGTGGAGACAAGTTGTAAGCATTTGATCCATTGCTCTGCTCCTCTTCAATATCAGGGCTCTCTGAGACCTCATTCACCTTTTGATCAACAAAAACAACAACCTCTTTAGCAGCTTCTTCATCTGTTTTCGCGGCCTTGTTGCCATTATCAGACACATCAACAGTCCTGCGTCGTCTTTTCCTGAAAATGGAAGGTGTGTTTGGGAAAGTTCTAGCAGCTTCTCTCAGGTATGATTCAGGGCTCGTTGGACGTAAACCGTTACTATACTCTTTTCTACTAGGCGGTGGTGGTGTGAAGAAGATAACAGGTGATGCGCTTGGACTGCAACCACATTCATACCCATACATACGCTGCTTATCCGCTTCTGATGCCATGTTATACTCTGTTTGAGGCTTCTTGTAGTAAAGATGATAACCATTGTCTGGCGATTGCTCTGGCTTAGGTAACTGATCATTGACCATTGGTGAAGCAGCTACAACTTCTTGAAGCGGCACAGAAGAGTTTAACTGGTCTCTTCCGTCTTCATCTGGTTTGTTTATCTGTATAGCTCCTGAAGAGGTCTGAGCAACTGTTACAGAGTCCCTTCTCTGATAAAACATTGGACGTTTACTAGCACTATCAAGAACACCGTTTTTTACTGCTGATGGTGGTAAGGCACCATTAGCTAAGTAAAACTCTGACTTCTTCTTCAATGAACTGTTCCAATGATTCTTTATCGAATTGTCCGTTCTGTATCAAGTTTCAAAGTAATCCCTTTTCATTAAACCAAAGAAGCTAAGCCTAAGTACATTGAAGCATGCGCAAAGGAAGAGTATATATACCTGCCGGGTAAGACCTTAGCGATTTCAGCCCATTTGTTTCCGTGGACTCTATGAGCATTCATGAGAGCTAACTCTTCCTCTGGAGTCCAAGCCTCTTTGTTGATACCAGGGTTCAAATGGTTGTGCCACCTGCATACATATCAAAACACATTGAAGCTACTAATAAAGAAGCAAAAAATGCTTTCTGCTCTCATATGAATTTTACCTTTCTCGACATTGCTTCCCAATTCGACCTTGTAAAGACTTCGCTATAGTAGACCATTTCGCAGGACCGTATTTTTTAACAAGTTCAACGATCTTCTCATCCTCCTGCAGAAAGAAAACAACCTTATAAGCCTCTCATATTCACACAAAAACAAATGAAAAGAAAAAGAAACAGAATGAACCTCTTGCGTCCACGGTCCTTTAATAAGTTCCGGATTCAAAACTTTCTGCCACCGGTGCAGGCATTGAACTTCCGTTCTATCAGGGAAAAACTCCGCTGAACAAAAACAAAAACACACTAAAATTCAAACAGCAAGAACAGTTGATAAAACTACATACTTAAGTCACTGTAAATTCGAAGCATATACACAATTGCAAACAAGACTCCAACAACAAATCCCTTGAACAACGTTGTAAAGCTGTGACATCAAATAGAATCTAAAATGGAAAAAGGAAGTGAAACGCTTACCTATTTTCTTCCAGCTCTTGGCATTATAAGTACAAACCGCTTGTCTCAAAGTCTCATCCTACAAACAAGTAAAAAAAAACATCTAAAACCTTCCGAACTAGTACAAGTTTCATCAAAGACAAAGCAATCACTAGTCCTAACCTCTTCAGTAGTCCAACCGCCTTTAGCTCTCCTTATAGGTCCACTCGTCCTCCTAAACATAAACAAACATCAAAACCTCCAATCACATGATTAAAATTTGTAAACTTGATTCCACAAAAGCAAACCTATGAGTTGGAGAAACAGTGGGAGGACTTGCAACAGCAGCAGGAGATGACTTGAGAAAACTACTACCACCACTTCCTTCAGAAACAGAGGAGCAAGAAGCAGCTGTTGATTGCTTATTCTCAACACACTCATCCTCCTCCCTCATCATCTTCCCTTCTCCCTGTAAAAGATCAAATCTCAATTCCATTAAAACAGATCTCACAAAAATTGAAACTTTACTGAAAAAAACTTAGGGTTTATACACAATTCTAATCATATGAATCTGTTATCAATTTTCAGACCTAATCAACTGATCAGATTTGAGAGAACAAACCTTATCTGGAGAGGAAGATGACGATGGATTGAAATTGAAGCTCATCGAGATTAGATTTGATGGATGCAACAATTCGCCTAAGAGCAGAGGAAGAACGTTAAAAGACGAAACTTTATTCGAAATAAAACTTTGCCCGTTGAACCAGAGAAAGAGGAGAGACTTTGGATCGACACAGAGGCAAAATAAAAAAAGGGTTTTTTTTCTTTTCAATTAACTCTTCTCTACCGTTACTCAGCCGTTCTTTTTACCATAACTGGTAACCTATTTTCTCACTCGGCCCGGTTTGTTTTAGTGATTTATACCGAACAATAATTCAACCAAACCGAACCGTTTTTTTCAATTAATTCAGGATGAGATAAACCGGAGAGTGTTTACAATGCTTGATTGATTCCTACAAGATGTTAAGTATAAAAAAGCTTTGCATTTAGTGAGTAAATCATATAGTCTCTTTGTTGCTTAAAAAATGTTTATTTATCATTTCTTTTGTTACACATTGCATCTATCTTATATTTTTTTATCTCAAATACTATTGGTCAAATAGATATAATTAATTAAAACATAAAAGTATTTTTCATTTACTTTTTTAATCTGGGTGAAATGTAAAAGTAACATTTTTTAAGAAACAAATGGAATATACTTTTATCCAGAAGTTTGATTATTTTTAAATTAATTATAAATAAACAATGCAAATAACCAGATTTATGCCCGTTTTCAAAAAAAAAAAAACAACCACAAGAAGTTTTATGACACCTCGTAACAAGAATTGAAAGAGATTAGAGATGATCTTACAAAAACTTTGTTTTAGAATGCAAATCATAACCATCCTCTTCTTCCTCTTCATAGAGCTTCTCATCAACCTTTCTAGATTTTGCCACAGCAGCTTTAGAATATTCAACAAGCTTTCCTGCATATTCTGGACAACTAGAAAAAAAAAAAAAAATTGTAGATACTTATGTATGTGACAACTCATAAACTAATCTACGAGAAGATAGATGATATATGGATCTTAAATAATCACCTTAATATAATCTTTGTGCATTTGTTCCCATATCAACTTCTTATAACTCTTTTCCTCCTCAGTGTTAATATCGCAATCCACCTGGTTTACATTAACCAAGATCAATCTAACAAGCGAAACTGTAGTAAGAAAAAGAGACTAAGACTAGGACAAAATGTTAACCATTCGTGGTTGAACATATCACTACCATTTAGAGAGCCATTTCAACAACTTGAAACTCTTTAGAAACTCACATTTAAACTTCCAGACACATACTCAATCGACCGTTTGGTTAGAGTTACTTCAGATATATACACAATGTCCGCCTGAAATAGTTAAACAACAAACCAAACCGAACCAGCATCAGCACTAAATAAAAGGCTTCCTCTCCTCATTAACAACACTTTTTGCTAATAAGCTAATCATAATCTTACAATATCTTTCTTAGAGCACACGATACCATGGGCAAGCGCAGCTGTGTAAATTGCTACTCCACATATTCCACTAAGTTTTTCCTCGGTCTACAAGCGGCCAATATAATAAAAATATCAAACCAACACTAAAGTAATACATAGGAAAAGACCCAACTAACAAAACAAAAGAAGGTCAAACCTGTATCCAATCACATTTCATACTAGCTATAATGTTTCTAGCTGTTCTCACGACATATTGATCATGTCTGCCTTTCAACAAGCCTGCAAAGCGAGGAGGTTGGGTTACGTACTACTCTGTACAAATGTAACTAAAGAAACTTAAATAGTAGTAACATACGTACTGTTTAAGAATCGAGGAATAAACATTAAAGGATGAACAAGCTTTTTAACATAGTTACGGTTAGGGACAGGGTACATCATTTCGCAGAGTTGCAAGTACACAGAACGTAGCTCATAACTGCATAAGAATTTTTATGAAACAAAAAGATAAAACCCCATATAACAAAGGAAAGAAGAGAAACAGAAAAAGATTCATCTTACATGCTAACTTGAAGGTAGCTTGAAAAATCAATAAGAAGTAAAGGAAACTTTTTCTCCCTACAGATCAAGAAAGTTTTAGGTTCAACGTAACTCAAGCATTCATATAGGAACAAAAATTTAGGTTACTAAGAATCTAACCTGCAAGTCAAGTAGAGGCAGGAAGCTTGTACTAGTTCTGTTCTGAAGCCTTTAGTGATATTATCCTCAAGTGATATCTACATATATTGAGTTTTTTTTAAGGGTAAAAGTCCTAACAAATTAGTATTTAGAAAATGTGTAAATCAAACACACCATAAAGAATCGAATAGCTATCTCAATCACATCATTTCTATCCTGATCAAGCCCCAAAGCATCTCTAAGATTCACAAGCTCATCTCTAGCTGCAAATAAAAAAATCATTAGTCAGAGCAAACGAAAAATACAGAATAACGAGTACAACACTTACTGAAACCCAAAATTTTAAAAATGCAGTAAAAAGACTTAAGATTAGATTTAAACAGTGTAACAGAAAAATTAGATCAGATATATAAGCAAAAAGCTTTAGATTAGATGTATCAGTTGCAGTGTTTAAGCAAAATCATATACAACAAAAGGTCATCATTACCTTTACTAATTATCCCTTCACGTGCGCTTGAAATCCCACTCTGAACACTGCTCACCATGTCACCTGACACTTGGCTCTGCAGGTACAGATAAATGAAGGTAAAATCAAATAAAAGTCAAGAGTATACATAGTTACTAACTTCTCATAGTACCCTTACAGAACATCATAGCAGAGATTGGTAATAACTCAAAGATTCTCATAATATCCCAAACAAACATTGGATACATTGGTTAGTCCTAAAGAGCTGCAAAAGACATATAAAACTGAATATAATAATCCCAGCTCTGTGTCTACGTACCTGCACAGCAACATTCTTAACTTCAGTTGAAAAATTAAAATTCTCCAATATCTTCCCACATAAATTACACGCCCTGCAAAAACAAAAATTAAAAATATAAATTTTTTTATTTTGAAACACACAGAAGGTTAAAACATACTCAACACTCAAAACACTTACAATGCACTATCTGCTGGTCGTGTTCCGGGAACGTTCTTCCCACAATGGTTACACCACACCATGGCTCCACGGCGGAGACGGCTGAAGAAGGCGAAGCTGGTAGACGTGTTGAGAAAGTTCCTCTGGTCAGTGGCTGCTTCTAATCGAACTAGGGTGGCTCTTCTTATATTAGGTCTATAGCAGTGAGAGCTTTCATGCTTATTCACTTATACAAGCTGAACCGGTAAATTATGTGGTCCAAACCAATTTGGTCCAAACCAATTTGGTCCATACCAACTGTTGCTTAAACGGAAAAAAGTTGTGATATTAAATTTTCATTTTAATTGTCGTTTTAAACTTTTATATAATGATTAAATATATATTTTAATTTTATTTACTTTTAAAACAAAACATAATTACTCAAAAAACCTATACATTTTCAAAATCAGTAAAAATAGAAAATAAGTAAAATTAATAAATTCTATATCAAAATATAAATGACACTTATTTGTAAACCGAACGACACTTATTTGTAAACCGAAACAGAGGAAGTAATACAAGCTGAATTATCTGGTCCATACCAACTGTTGCTAAACCGGAAACTGGTAAAAAAACTTGAATCTGAAGACTATTGGTCTCACTAATTAAATATCTCAAATAATCAAAACATGACATAAACATTGATTCTTGACATAAAAGTCTTATCATCTTTTCTGAAAACATGAAACGTTACAAAGACAAACAAAAGCATTATAGCACTCTTTATGGTGCGGGTCCAAGTAGTTTAATAGGCTCTTCTTTCTTCTCAGTGACATTACGATTCACTGCTGCAGAAGCTCTGAGAGGAGGCTCGAAGAGCTTGCTCGCCACATCAGGAGGCAACTCATCTTCACCTGGAAGAACAAGAAGCCCTTTCTCTCTCAGAGAAGAAGGCTCATTGTAGCAAACCCTCCACAATGAATCCACGAGCTGTCTCTCTTCTTTAACCGTTCCAAGATCCTCTTGTGACATCAAGCTGATCCCTTCTATCCTCTCTTCTAGCAGCTGCCTCAGCTTCTCATCGCCTTTCTCGATGCTGCTGCTTCCACTCCCATCGTTTCTCTCTCTTGTAAGCTCGAGCAAGCCGCGTAAAGCAGCTTCTCTTGTCTCTGCATCGTCACTAGCTGCTAAATGCATCATCACTCGGGGGAAGCCGAGTCCGGTGGCAATGCTGCGGTCTGCATCATCCTCTTGGAGAAGATATTGCAACAAGTTTAACGCTTTCCTGAAATGTTTAGACAGAAACATTCAAGAATCCTCCAAGGTTTTGAAGTTCATGTAACGTAAAAAACAAGAAATTACCTTTGGAATCTCACACTATCAGATGCCATAGCATCTCTTAGACCAGCATAACCATTAGCAAGCTTGAAAGCAGTGACTCCAGGTTTGTTATGGCGAATCAAAGCTACACAACATAAGATACAGGTTGAGTCTTTAGAATATCATCACAATCACAACAAGTATATCATCTACATCTTTACTATAAGCCATTAGAGCAGGCTTACATGATATTGCACTGAGAGCTTGAGTTCGAGCATGAATATCTGCGTCGGAAGTGAAGTTTGACAGCAATGACTCCAAACCATTGGCTTCCATAACCAACTCCTGACTTCGAGGATTGTTCTGAACAATCGTGCTTACAACATCAGCAGCTTTGGCACGGATATTAGCATGAGAGTTCTTAAGAAACCCGAGAAGAGGAACCAATCCTCCAATAGAATGAAGATCTACACAACAGTAAGTAAACCAATATTCAAAACAGAGCTAACCAAAGTTCCAAAGTAAGAAGAGATAGTTTAGTTACCATTAGCCATATCAATTGATTCAACGTGCTCCTGCAACTCATCCAGCAAATCTACCAGAACATTAAAAAACAAATCAGTACCCACAAGGCCAACCATATGACAAAGTTGAATAAAGTTACCTTCAATATCGTCAGGTGTTACTCCATGTTCCACTAAAACCTCCTCAGGTGTTTGCATAACTAAAGTAATCTCCTTCATGCGTTTAACTACATCTAGAGTCTGCGATTGCATAGCCTCCATAAACCACTTCCTATCCTCCTCACTGTCTCACCACCAAAAAAACCAACTCAATTTAAACAAAACATTCCACTATAAAAACACCAAACACAATAACATAGAACAAGAAAAGAGACACCTTTTCCACCTACATAAGCCTGCAGATTCGATAACTGCCTCTAAATCTAACCGATACTGATTAAAAAAACATAACTTTACAGAGACCCAATATTTGAAATCACTCAAAGGATTGAACTTTCAGACAGAACCTAAGAAACTAGAAAGTGTAGGTTTGTACCTTAACTGGCGAGTTGGTTGAGTACCGTCTGCGTGGGAGAGACTCCATTTAAGCAATCCATCCCAATTAGGTCCGTCTTTCGCCATTGAACAGTCGCTAGAAAACAGAGAGATTACAAATATCGAAGCTTTCTTCTTTCTCTTTGTAGTATTAAAGAGGAGAAACGGCTGATTCAGTGGTTTAAGCTTTATAAACCAACCAGAGATTATTCCTGAAGCTGCTACAAGCTTCCTGAATATCTTAAACCTTCTCCATAGAAAAAGGAAAGGCCAAGTAAAGATGATTACGAGTCCCCAAAGGCAACGTTATTGGGCCTTTGTAAGTCCGTTATAAGAACATATCAGGATGAGACCCATTATATCCAATAACCAATGTTTATTTCAACTCAAACATAAAACAAATTGAAATTACGTAATACCCAACTTAGCATCTAAAGATACAGTTTGTTTTAGTCAATAATCTATACTATTATTTGCGAAGTGATTTTTCGCAACGGAGCTCTCACGTTAAAAGTTAGGATGGTTAATATCGTTTATACCCTTAATGAATAAAATATATAAATCAGCCAAAAATAAAAACGAATTTAATATTTATTTTATTAGATAAATGATTTAAATTAATAATAATGATAAGAATTATCCATAATCTAAATATATGTTTAAAATAAAATAAAATAAAAAGATAATTCCTAGATATATATTGTGTTGTTATCCTAAAAATATATTTTAATTAAAAAAATTCAAAAACAGAAAACATATAAATAAATATTCATAAAGTAAAATTTTTAGTTGTATATAATTGAAAATAAAAAATTGAAAAAATATGATACATAATTATTTTCAGATTAAAAGAATATATCTTATTATATAATGATATATATTTGTGAAGTTATTTTTCAACTCTGAACTCATACGTTAAATTAAATTTTATATTTTATATAATTAAACCTTAAACATGAATTAATCATAATAAAATAAAAGATCATTCAAAAAGAAAAAAATACGTGTTTGAAATAATAATATTATTCTTTCTGTAAGATCAATTTTTCGATTATATATTTATCGATTCAATTTTTTAAATTGAAAGATAGATTTCTATATTTTTATCATTTAAGAAGAAATGAAATAGACTTTAGATTTTTCCAAAGATTTAAAGGAAAAAATAGATTTGTTTTTAATTTGTGAATAACTTTATTATGTAAAAAAATTTAATTTTTTAGGTCGAATTTTTTGGACGCAATAATCATTTATTTAGATGAACTTTAAATGAATTAAAGATAATTAATCCCGCATGTGCGGGCAAAACACCTAATTTATAATAATAGTTTCGTGAGTCTAACCTCTTCGACAGAAACAATAACAGTTTTAAAAATGGTGTAATCGTGAACTAGTGGGAGAAATATAAGGAAATCTTGGTTTATCTAAATTTTTAGTTTCTATAGAAAAATAAATAAAACTTTAGTTACTAAACGATTTCTTTTTATGCATTTAATTTTCTCTCTCTCCATTTTGCATTTTTTTCAAAAAAAATTAAACATATTTCATGTGTAAAGATTCTATTGGCTAGGTGACTTGTGATTTAGTATATAAAGGATATATAAATTCTGTGAAATTAAGACGATGTGTCACGTAGTCCAACGGATATTGGCTTGATTAAAGGTTTCTCCGAAGCAGCTGAAGTTCATTTTGTCGCTTAATTAAAAAAATTAGGTTATGACACCGAAATGACCAGAACAGAGCTCCCACGTTAAAAGTTGGAGTGGTTAATATCGTTTATACCCTTACTAAAATAATATATATATTACATATAAAATAAAAACGAATTTAAATTATTTTAATCTAAAATTAATAAAAATCATAAGAATTATCCAAAATCTAAATAATATCTTTTTAAATAAGATAATTCCGATATATATTGTGATGTTATCTGAAAATATATTTGATTAAAAAAGTTAACAATTAAAACAATAGAAATACATAACTAAATATTAATCAAGTCAACTTCTTAATTTTATATTACTGAAAAAAATATTATTTGATCTTAAAATTATTTTTAATAGTGAACATAAACTACAAAGAAATATATGTAAGAATTTTTAAATGAAAGTATAACTATTATTGGTTTCAAAAAATAAAACACAATCAATACTTAATATTGTTTGATCTTAAAATTATTTTTAATAGTGAACATAAATTACAAAGAAATATATGTAATAGTTGTTAAATAAAAGTATAAATATTATTGGTTTCAAAAAATAAAACACAATCAATACTTTATCATTATAATCTTTCAATTAATAAAAGATGTGTTAATAAAAACGGATTTAAATTATTTTGATTATTTAAATAATTAAAATTAATAACAATCATAGGAACTATCCAAAATCTAAATAATATGTATTTAAATAAGATAATTCCTATATATATTGTGTTGTTATCTAAAGATATATTTTACAAAAAAAATAGATATACATAATTAAATATTAATCAAGTAAACATCTTAATTTTGTATAATTGAAAAGAAAACATTTATTTTTATTTTAAGATGATTTATTCTTAGTAGGGAACATAATGTACAAAGAAATACATGTAAGAATGTTTAAATGAAAATATAAATATTATTGATTTCAAAAAAAATAAAACATAAAATCATTATAATTTTTTGATTAGTAAAGTAATAAAATAATTATAAAATGTTTAGGCCCGCAAGTGCGGGCAAAACACCTAGTAAAACATTATACTTTGACCCGCAAGCCCGCGCGGATTTTATTTTGAGTCTAAAATATTTTTTCACTTTTGAGACATCATCTGTTGACAAGTCACTAAACGAACGGGATATATTCAGAGTAACATTGGATTGCATAGGTATGCTAAATTGGTTGATACAACTTGAGTATATTTGTTGTATTTGTAGGTATTTGATTTTGTAACATGTATAACAATAAATTTCTTAATCATGTTTGGCAACCACTTCTAAATTATGGGAAATTAGTCTGCTTTTTATCTGCTACAGAGTGAAATCACTGTCTCAAAGGAAGTGCATTTTAATTTTTAAACTTTACTGTTAGTTTTTGTTTCATTCGTCGAAAGCGGACTTGCTTTACAGATAGATGGATTCTCATCATCTATACAGTGTACTCTTTAATTCCAACTTTGCAATGAATGAAAATGTTGACAATAAAAGAAGCCAATTTTTTTAAAAAAATTACCGGTTAAATTCATATTTGAAACATAGACATCCCTTGTTAGGAATGTTAATACTTAATAGACAACTATTTTACATATATGTTCAAGAGACCTCTCTTCCCTTCTCTCTCTAAATCCTTTCTAGCCAAAAGCCCTAATTTGTCTTGCCCCTTCTGCTCCGGCGGTGGTGGTTCCGTTGGCCGCCGTCGGGAGCACCCTTGTTCCCTTTCCCTTTGCTCTGTCGACTTCCCCCTTCTTCTACGGTCTTGCTGAAGCTCTGGGTTTGTCTTGCTGCTTCAGATCCCGATCTATTCGCGCCAGATCTGGCGGTCTGGCTTGTGCGGAGGATAATCTGGTGTGACAGCGACGTTGGTAGCAAGGGACTGTCGACTGAGTCGGCTTTGTGGGTGGTCGGTGCCGTTTGTCTCTTCCCTGGAGATCCTTCTGTTGATTTGTCGGTACCACGGCGGTGGGGAGGAGAGGGCTTGAGCCGGCGTCGATCCTTCCTCTCGTTTGTTCAGATCGCTGGAGTCTCTTCTAATTTTTCGGAGCTAGGGTTCTGACCAGGTGTTTGACGGCGCGTGGAGTCTAGGTGAGGCTATTCTCCGGCGGTTCTTCATCTCCCTGCCTCATTTTGGTGAGGCTTATCCTTCTTTGCCCGGATTTAGTCTTAGTTTCTTGGTTCGTCCGGATCCGCTTTGCTCTTGGGAGGTCCTGTGGCTGGTTCTCAGTCATGGGTGCGTGTGGGTAGCTTCTTCTCTCGGTGTTGTCGCCCGGTGTTAAGAGGCTCTGTGGCAGCGCGTGATGAGGCAAGAGACTGCATCCGCGTCTCTTTAGTTGTCTCTGTCTCCCGGAGTCGGGCTCTAGGCTGTGGCAGCGCGTGGGTCTAGCACTTCTCCCATAATAATTTGTCACTTGGTGGTGGTGTAGCCTCTATGGTTGTGGGCCAGTCCTTTGAGTGTGGATAGTAGGTAGTTTGGCACTCGGGCTTCTGGCTTGTTTCGAAGGTCGTTTCTGCTGGAGGAGGTGTGCCCAACATGTCCCGTTGCTCTGCGTGTGTGGTGGGTTAAATGGGTGTATACGGTCCCGGGTTTGGTGGGTTGGTGACAGCAATCTCCAGTTCTCCGTCCCGAACGACGGCACTGCCTGTTAGTGGACTCCTCCTCGTGCTGTCAGCGAGGCGATTTTGAATGGGTTAGCTGTTTCGTGATGTGTTTCTTTGTGATGTTATTGATGATTGAGTCTTTCGGAAGCTGTAGGTATACCACGGTGCTTCAAGGTTTGAGCCGCCTTTCTCTCCGGGAGCTCGCGGCAACCGGGATCCCAGTCCGCTCGTAGCTTCCCCTTGGGCCATCGTTGCTACGCTAAATCCGGTCCTCCTCTTTTACTATGTTTGTTGTAGTAGAGTTTGCCTATCACTAAGTGCTCTGTTTAGTTTTAATTTCTGCACTCTGTTTCTTTGTTTCCTCTGTACTTCTGTAAAAAAACTGAAAATCTGGTATAATAATCTTAACATTTTACCAAAAAAAAAAAAAAAAAATGTTAATACTTAATTGGGACCTTTGATAGTTAAATAAAAGGGTCGACGATCTATTTATTACGAGAAGTATCATATAGCATCAAATGTCCACGCAACTATGATCCTATTCTATTTACTCCTGAGAATAAAGTTCACAACCTATTTCTCCACCAAATTTGGTTTAGTTATGATTTCTGAAAACCGAATTTCAAATCTACACTCTTATATAATAAAACCGAGCAAAACTAAACCAAGACAAAATTAAAAATCTGACAAACCTTGGTCTAGATCAGAATAGTAACCCGATCCAACATTCGAGCTTAAAAATATCATACTGATTGAATCTTAATCCGGTGCTTAACATGATCTACGGTTTGTTTATAAACAGTAAACCAATAAAAATAGATTTTGTGGGTTTTTAGATTTCGATCTTTATAATTGTGGGGAAATATCGATATAACTTTAATTTGGTGGAGAAATAAGTTGCAAACTTTATTCTCAGGAATAAATAGAACGGGGTCATAGTTCTATAGACATTTGGTGATATACGATATTTCTCGTGAGAAAATAGATGTTCCACCCTAAATAAAAACAAGAGGGTGAAATACGAGATAATCTAAGAATACAAGGGTCATTTCAGTTAGGTGGGAGAACTTCGGTTTTAAGACATGACACATCTTCGACAACTTCAGACATACTCCAACAACAATAACCGAGAACAAAAATAATTTAAAAAAAAAAATCCATTCGCCGGAGACACCGTTTTTCCCGACGCCGGAGCTCCGTCTTAACCCTCCACGTTATTAATCGGAGGAGGTTAAAAAAACTAAGATGAAACGGAAAGGAGTCGGGTTCTCTCTCCCCGTCGCGGCGGTGACGTTAGTGATCGGTTTCATTTATTTCTCAACGGTTTTCACTTTCATCGATCGGTGGTTCAGCCTCACTTCCTCTCCCGGAATCGTTAACGCAGCCGCGTTCACGGGTTTGGCTATGATGTGTGTGTACAGCTACTCCGTAGCGGTTTTCAGGGATCCGGGTCGGGTCCCACTCAGTTACATGCCGGATGTTGAAGATCAGGAGAGTCCTGTTCACGAGATTAAACGAAAGGTCAACTCTTTATGTCTCTTTCTCTCTCACTCAGTGTCGTGATCTTTGATCCTTGTTGGCTCTGAAGAGAACTTTAAAGCTAATAGATTTGTAGTTAACTTTCTGATTATGACCCTAAAGGTTGAGGCTTTGTGATTACATATGTGAGCTATGTTTTTGAAGCTTTTATTGGATTCTATTGAAACTCTGTTTTTTAGCTCTTTTAGGGAGACTTCACTTGTGATTTTTTTTTTTGTCTCACTGCTTAGTTTGTTTATGTTATTTACAGGGAGGAGATTTGAGGTATTGTCAAAAGTGTTCACATTTCAAACCTCCACGAGCTCACCATTGCCGGGTTTGCAAAAGATGTGTGCTTAGAATGGTATTCTCTTACTGAACACTTGCCAAATTGGACATCAAACTCGCCCATATGTGATATTTATGTTAAATTAGTTGTATTTGATTTGAAGGACCACCATTGTATTTGGATCAACAACTGCGTAGGACACACTAACTACAAGGTCTTCTTCGTATTTGTTGTCTATGCGGTGACTACTTGTGTATACTCTCTGGTACATTTCCTAACGTCTGTTACTTCAATGTAAATCTCTATGTGCCCCCTTTAATGTATGAGCCTTTATATGTATAGGTTTTACTTGTGGGAAGCCTTACTGTTGAGTCTCAAGATGAAGACGAAGAAATGGGAAGCTATCTAAGAACTATATATGTGAATGATGATTTGCTTCAAAAACTACCAGAAAATATTATTTTCCCTTTTAATATTTTTGGTTTTGTTTCTTCTCAGGTAGTTTCATCTTTTGTTCTTATCTCATTGAGCATTGCGTTAGGTGTTCTTCTCGTGTGGCACATTTACCTCAGTTTACAGAACAAAACAACCATCGAGGTTGTTCTTTTTCTCTCTTCTTAGTTTTTTTTCTTCTTTCTATCTGCTAAGCAGTGTTGCTTAAATTTTGAGCAGTATCATGAAGGAGTAAGAGCTATGTGGTTAGCAGAGAAAGGTGGGCAAGTCTATAAGCATCCATATGACATTGGCGCATATGAAAACCTCACCTTGGTAAAATACTTCTTTATCTTCTCTTAGATTGTCAGTATTAGTCAAAAGGTTTTAATCTTTGTTTATTCTTTAGATTTTGGGTCCGAACATACTCTCTTGGCTCTGCCCTACATCAAGGCATATAGGTTCTGGTTTACGTTTCCGTACAGCTTTTGACTCAGTCCCTGTTTCATCCGAAACAAAACCTTAGACATGATCCAAATCATGTACTCCCAATTTTTGGTGAGTTTTAAAGAAAAGGCAGCAGGTTTTCAACTTCACAACACTCTGGCTCGTCCCTTCTCAGGCGTTTTAGCTGCATCAGCTCAAAACAAGACTAGACCGTAATGAACTGCAGAGAGCGCTTGATCAAAGAACATCTGTTTGTGAAATTATGATGCCAGTTAGTTAGGTCAGTTATTTCCCCAGTTTTTTTTTCTTTGGATTCCTCAAAAAGGAGAAGTTAGGTTGTGGATACAGAACTCAAAATTATACATAACAATTAACAGGTGAAAAGACATCTTTGTAAGATAATTAAAGGGTTTTATAGTTTCTTATCAGAATCAGAAATTTCTCAGTTTGTGGTTTATATGCAAGGCTGAAATTTAATAACTTGTAAGCAAGCTCTTTGATTCTTGGATTCCATAAGAAAAAGAAGTTTGTAAAGATTTTGTTCAGACCAAATTGGACAAAGAAGATGAATAACAAAATCAGAGAGGAAGATCAAGTCCTTTGCCAATATCAACACCAATGATCTGCAGTATTCCTTTGTTCAAAATCTGAAAGAAAATTAAACGAAAGTTAATCTCTTTGTCTATAATATATACATAACTTCCATAACTAGTTGAGCTCACCAGCTCGACAATGAAGGTTCCAATGAGACCAATCATACAAGCTCTAGAGTTCCATATCTCAGCTGTAAATGTGAATCCCAGAAACGCTGGTTCAAACTTAGGTTCCACTTTTGGCACTATCACCTTCCCAACCCAAAAAAACAAGTTTACACAAGAAAGGGAATCGTTTAAGGAGATTGAAAAAGAAACATTGAAGCTTTAGATTTCATATGTCAGATAGTGTGTAAGAGACTTATCTACATACCCCTTGAGGGAGTTTAGCTGCGCGAACACAGAGAGACCACTGTTTCCGACCGAACCAGAGAGTTCTTTGGCTCAGACATTGGCCATGATGAACCGACAGCTTCCGAGAAACAGGTAAGAATGATGAGGACAGTGACGTCGAGGTGAGAAGCGAGCTCGCCATTTTTTTTTTTTTTTCTTTTAGGCGAAAGAGAAAGACGAGGGAAGAAGATGAGTCTTTGATTTTGTGGATGTGCTCCGTTAGTTCAGAATGCAGTTCGTCCGTACAAATTCTGCAACGTGTCGTATCCTTAACACCACAAGTACGATTCCGACACATTATGTGACTGTCCGTAGCAAACGTCAAATAATAATACAGTAAAAATAAGTATTCCGTAATTTTTATGTTTAAAGCCTTTGAGCTAGTAAGCCCAATTGTATTTTATTATATTAAGCCACTCTTCAAGGCCCATTTGTGTTAATGGGCTAAGCTCGAACGTCGTCGTTTTTATAGCACACAGAGTGAAACAGAGGATTGAGAGAAAAAAGTGTGTTCTGTTCTAAATGGCGGTCGTCGTCTCCGTTCATCGTCTTTATGCAACCCACGTGATCTCTGAGAATCCTAATCCTCCTAAACTTCACTTCAAACTCAATACGTCTCGCCTGAGCTTTCATCATCTTCCTCAGACAAACAAGCACAAGCTCCGTTGCTTATCTGCAAAACCGACACCTTCGAGTCCAAACCCTGAATCTCCTAAAGGTCTCTCTTTTCTGTATCTCCAATTATAAAGTTTCTCCCTTTACTTATGTGTTAAGTCCTTGTGACTAACTGGTTTGGTTTCAGATGGGGAAGAGCAAGAGAGTGTAGGTGTCAAAGCAGCTTTAGCAATGCTCAGATTCTACAAGAGTAAACAAAAAAAAAAACTCCTCTTTTGCATTTCCTCTTCATTTTTCTTGTGTAAGAGTGTTTCATGGGTCGTTAATGGCGTTTACCGGTGAAAACAGGGGAGATATCGCCGGTGTTACCTAGAAGCTGCCGTTACGTTCCAACTTGCAGTGAGTACTCAATGGAAGCTTACAAAAGATATGGAGTTCTCAAAGGCACTGTTCTCACCACTTGGCGTCTCTGCCGCTGCAATCCTCTTGGTGGATCTGGTTTCGATCCTCCAAGATGGTTTGGTGAGAGTGTGATCACACCCCAAGAAGAAGAAGAAGAAGAAGATAGCTATGGCAATGAGGATGAAATAGAGATTTGAATGTAATAAAAAAGAACAATAGAATTTGTAAACTACTACTAGAGAAAGCAAGGAAAGCTGAGAATATAAGAATTACAACATCTGTTACCAAAAGATTAGATTTGATCTTCTTCTTGTCTTTTGGAGAGATTCATTAGGTAGACAAATCTTGAAACTGCCATGGGTGGAACTGGATTGACTTAGGGTCGGTGTTGTCTTCAGAGCTATCCGCAGCTTCACGATGTTCTAAGTACTTTCCGTTGAATTGATAAACTTCGAGATCCCCCCATGGTGTAGGAGTGACTTCTTCGGTTATATCAAACCACTTGGGAGCAAAGCTTTGGCTTTTCTCTTCCCGGGTTCTCTTTTCAGCTCTCTGTTTCTCTTCCAGGCTGTGGAAACAAGATAATGGGATGAGCCAACCTTACTTCAGTTTCAGAGAGAAGTTTTTGTTACCATACCTGCTCTTCTCATTGCCGGATTTGGACATGTCGCCCATCTCTAGTGCGTATCTATCAGGGCGTAACCGTGAATCAGACGGTAACAGCTTTTTCGGGGCAGTGTCAAAGCTATTAATCTTGTGAGCAAAGTGTGTGTATTGATACTTGTCATCCTTTGGAACATCAGCGAGTTTCCAGACCTATGGACAAAAGTCAGCATTAAGAATGTCATCAGGGTAAGAACTTTGGAAAGAGAATTGAGTTGATGACTGTGGTGAGAATTGGCCAACCTCTTTTAGCTCGGTGCCTGGGAGAGGTTCACCTTCACCGTCACACGGCTGATAACTCATGGACTCGTTCCATTTACCTGTCATGAGTATCTTGGGCTCTTCAGAGGCGTTGTAGACATATCCATCCACTTCATATCGACCAGATCTGTTGAGACAGTAAATGCACATGCCTTTGAGGTTATAATGGTAAAAGAAAAAACAGGAAGATGAAGTGTTGTGGTTAAGGGAACTTACCCGAACCAGCCACATGGTTGGAAGTAAAGCACGACTTTGTCACCTGTGGTCAGGTTGGTCATGATCATTTCCCCAGGAGAATCCACCCAAGTTCGTCCAAAGATTAGGTTGTGAACTTTGGTTAGCGGAGGTACCAAGTCAAGAACCACTCCATCTCTTTTAAGTGTCACTCGTGTCCTGCACCACATATTCATTGTTCAGGATCATGAACAAATGAAGAATGTTAATTCAGCAGCTCATGCTGTGGTTTGTAGAAATTACCTTCCTACTGGGTAAACGTCAATGGAATTGCCCAGAAACTTTGTTTTCAGTTTTGAAGTACAATCATAAGTGAAATGCTCATTTTCAGCATGACCAGCGCTCATTGGCGGGTGATGACTGACCTGAGAACAAGACTATTGGTGTCAATAATCTGAGAGAAGTTGGCAGCTAAACATGGAGTCGTTGACAACTATTCGAATTTTCAAAAGAAATGGCTCTGACCTGTTCAGATATGAAGTTAACACCATTGTAATTAGCCATCTCATAAGTCTCTCCAAGGATTGGATTAAACGGTTTCCAGGTACGTTGGAAAGCATAGTACACAGAAATAGCCCATGATGCTGTTAAAAGATCATTTCTTAAAGATTCAGCCACACAAGAACACAGAAACTAAATGAACAAACACTGATCATAGCATAAATCAAGAAAGAGATATGCTTACACGCATACACCATGCGCATGTAAGGGTCCTCGGTCTGGTCTGCCAAGTCTAATAGATGAGAGTATTCCATCAACTGACAGAAACAGAGCACACATCATCAAACATACAAAACCATCAGACAGGAACAAAAACTCAGGTATTGTAATGACCACAAACCAACCTCTGCCATTTTCTGGAGCATTGTCATTGGCTCAAAAATAATCACAGGAAGTGTCACCATTGATGTGACATCAGACCCTATATACTTCTGCATCATCTTCCAATAACCATCTCTATCCTAAGAATATTGTTCAAACATCATTAGATCAAACAGTTGATGACAACAAAAACTGTAAAACAGAGTATCTATCCAATACATACCTCTTGCTTCCACCTTCCTCTGTTTGCTTCCTCAGCTGCATCTTCTGTACTCCCTTCAGGATTAATAACTTCAAGTCCTTCATACCCAACCAAACTGAAAAACAAATCAAAACACACACAACGAAACCATTCAGATCTTTCTTTCTCCAAAAAAAAAAAAAAATACCGTTAAGATCAATCAATCCACAAAGGTCTAAACTTTACGCAAACCCACCAATTCAAAAATGGATCGGAAGCTCAATTACAACATAGGAGACACCAAATGCAAAAAAAAAAGTTTCCAGATTCAAAAAAAAAAAAAAAATTGGGATTAAAATTACGAATCTAGCTGAGTGGCGGATCCGGGTTTAACGAAAACGGATCTCGAAATCCTCACCCGTTAACTGATTTGGTCATGGCGGATCCCAAATTGGAGATCGAGGAAGCAAGAGAAGCGAAGAAACCGCCGCCACTTTTAGGATCGTTGGGAGCCATTTCTCTCCGCCGTGGATCACGACACTACGAGCTCCGGCGAAGAAGGAATAGAGAGGGAGAGAGAGAGAGAGAGGTTCGTTGGAATCTAAACAGGAAAATAGATTCGTCAATAATGGAATGTGAACAGCGATGGAGACGATGCAGAGGAGATTTAGGATTGGGTCTTAATTCAAATTTAACCCGGTTTAGTTTATAATGTAATTTTGAATTGAAATTAATTCAAACATAAACCGAACTGGTTCGGGTAAGTTGTTATTCGTTCGCGCCGTTTTTTTGTTAATTATCGGTTTAAGAAATACCGGAGCGTTTTCTCGAATCGAACCGGAAGGTGGTTTACGAAATATTCGTCATTGATGGCGTCACATACTCCTTCAAATTGATCCATTGCTTTTCCAGTCAGGGTCCGACTGGTTTCCCCGCTACCACCCGCAAACGCAGCTTTTGCGGTTGATGGCGGTTGCTAGCGTTTTGCAACAATCACAAAAACCACTACAAATCGCTTCAAACCGCTCCCAACCTCTTAAAATCAAAAGCTGGTTTCAGCTAGCGTTTGCGTTTGCGGGCGATTGCGGGTGGGTAAAAAACTATTTTTTTAAA